TGTTATATACACGCAAAGAAGCTTTAAATAAAAGTTATACGGACTAAAAAAATACATATTTTAAAATTATTTTTGGATAAACAGGGTGTTGCATTTTTACTTGAAAAGTAAAAATTTATGTTTTTTAAATAGAATTTTTAGCATTGTTTGGTAATACCGTATTTAATCCTAAAATTTTCATCCTATATTTCCTAGAATTTCACAAAAAAATGTTCTTTGATTAGGTATGTCACTACCAATTGTGTCAGGCCAATAGAAGGGGTAGGTCCAAAAAGTATTTGGTTGGCTACTTCCTTGGCTAGTGAATCAGCAAGACGGTTACCTCTCAATGTAGCGTGAATTTTGATCCATCTTAAGGTAACATTATTGTTGGTGGATACTTCGGTCAAAGTTTCGTGACATTCTAGTACTAACCCTGAGTAAATTCGTGGGCTGTTCAGGGCGAGTTGTGCTTGTCTGCTATCTGTATAAATGAGTCCTTCTAGTGATGTTTTCTCTTGTTATTTCTCTTGCTGCTATGAGAATCCGCGTTAGCTCTCTTTGAACTATATTGTCACTATTGCTCACAGCCCATTTTATGTTAAGATTTAAGAATCTGGAGTATATTCCACATCCTGAGACTTGTTTTGTTTTAGAACCGTCGGTGTAGATATGAATCGTACCTGTTACTTCCGGCTTTACTATTTGTTCTATTATATTTTTATATGGCTTATGGAAAATATATATCGTTGAGATAAAGTCCATGTTCGCTTGAAGCAGTGGAAGCCAAAAGCGATGTCTCGCCTCACCAGATCCTACATCAGGTTCTACTCCAACCATGCGGAGGAGTGTCATTGACGTCAAAGCAACCTTCTTGATGTAAATATCAAGGGAAGAATAAGAATGACTTTCATGGCTTTGGTCGGTGTTGTTGTCATGGCTTCTGTTATGTTGAGACATGCTGTTATTTGAATTTGTTCTAGTTTGCGGATAGCTGTTAATTTTTTGGTTTTTAGTATCCAGACAACTGCACCGTATGTTAGCATAGGTCTTATGATAGCCGTGTAAGTCCATGCAACGACTCCGGAGGAGAAAGCCCAGATGTGCCCCACGGTTCGGCGACATTGTTCATTAGCACATTAGCATATTTACCCCTATTTCCATAATGCGAGTTCTAGGTTAACTTGCTGTCAAAGGTGAGACATAGGTACTTTACCTATGTTGCAAAGTTTAGTTTTGTGTTTAAGGGTTCTGGAGGTTTTAATTCCATTTTTATCATTTTCTTGTGAAAAGGATCATTTCTGTCTTTCTGAATGGTCCCTGCACCACTGTTCGATAATTTTTAGAGCTACTTGAAATCTTTCGCAAAGTATGTTTTCAAAATTCCCTGTTTGCAGAATAACCAGGTCATCTGCATAGGCTATTCTGTAGTGACTGTCATTATTGAGACGGCTGATGAGTATGTCGAGAACCATATTTTACAGTAGATCACCCCTCCCTGTTGACATCCCCTCGGAACCAAACCTCTTATATTTACATCTTCTACACTTATGTTTACTGCTCGCTTTAAGAGCATGTTATGTATCCACCTACTAACCATTTGTGGAATATTATTGTTGGTTAGAGAGTGTATTATCTTTGGTAAGGTGGTTTTATCAAAAGCACCTTCTATTTTTATGAAAACGCCCAAGGCGGACTCCTTATTTTCGAGGGATCTTTCTATCCAGCCAGCAACTAGATGAAGGGCTAAATCAGTAGATCTGTCTGGGGTGTATGTATGTTGGTTTAGGTGTAGTTGTGTTGTTATTATCACTGCATCCCTTATGTACCTTTTGCATAGGGTTTTTAATGTCTTCATGCGCATCTTGTATTTTTATTCCTGGAGTGGATGTTATTTTGGAACATCCAGTTTGTCCGAGTGAGCTAACTAATTCTTTAGCTATAAACTGTGATAAAGTCAGTTCTAGAAACGGTCTGCGCATACTCAGATGACAAAATAAGAGCGGCGCTAATAGTGACTGGCCTTAAGTAAACGCAATAATTCTCTATTGTTATATTTTTACCAAGATTTAAAAATACGTTGTTATAGTCTTTTTTTTGAGGTTATAAACTGGGTGGGAAGTAGGCAGATGCAATAGTAAGTACATATTTTTTGTTTTAACCGATATGCTATTTTTTAGTCTCACTTTTTCCTTGTTCATAGTGTGTTATGTTATTTTTAATAATAATAGAAGCTCTACTTCGGGTAGAATTGTTTAAACGAATAGCCTTATAGATTTGATATTTATTAAATTTGCATATATTTCTGAAATGTGTTTCTGCTAGTAGGCATACATACACATGGTGTGTCTCTAAGGTCACTAGTAACTCTTGCTGCTATTGTAAGAGTCCATATTGATTCTAGAATCCTAAAGTCAGGAGTCGTTTTGTCTTTTATCGTTTTTTATTAGTATTTTCTAGTCTGCTCAGCATTTCTAAAACTTCTTTGTTGAATTCTTCTGATTCATTCATTTAACTCAATATTTTTGGGAGCTTTGAACTGTGATAATATCAATACAGCTCTCTACTATCGGTTTTTTTTTTTTTTTTTTTTTTTTTGAGAAAGTTGTTTGAGAAACAAAAATGTTTATTTTAACGACTTCTATACACAGTTAAAAAGGTAGCAACTTAGGATTCACCCTGTATATTACTCAGCGAGTATTATACTACTTAGGGTATCATAGATCAGTATCTGAAATTCATAAAATGTTTTCAAACAGTTTTTGTTTAATTACAGTCGCTGTAGGCTCCCTTAATTTTAAGTCCGATAATTTCATTGACCCCGATTTATCCATTACATGTAATTTAAAATATATTTTTTTTAAATATACTTAAAATAAGCAATAATTAAAAAATAATACATTTAATATCGACCTGACGTTTTAGTAGTGCTCGCGAAACTTTACCTGCCATCATTGGGCAATTTTTATATTTTTATAATTAAAATTTTTCGACATAGGTACAATTTTTCGTTTTAACCTCGCCTACGGCTTCTCACAAAACATTTATTCTATACAACTAAATTCAGAGACAGATTTCAATTACCGAGGTTCGCGTCAAAGTTTAATAGCTTTGTTGTCAGATTTTGAAGTTCTTAAACGAGTCTAGAACGAGAATATCAATGCATATTCCCGTTGTTCTAGCTCAGGCAGGTCAACATTTCAATTTTAATTTAAATTCGCGCGGTTGCAGTTAGCGGCTGCTGTTAGACAAGTAAAACCATCAAACTTGTTAATTACCTGTTTGGTAAAATTCCCTTGAGTATATTTTCGCTGGTATAATTTCCAGAAATAGTCGGTATCAGGCATGCCTAACACTCTCGAACAGCTTGCTATCTCTAATTTCCTCTTTTGCCACAGGGCTCAACTACATACAATGAAACAAACTCGTTATATACTTCAGCAACGCTGACTCTGCTCCATTATGGAAACATCAAATTTTATTTTGTTTACTTTCTTGCTTTTTATGGATGCCTAAATTGGGGCTTAAACAAAAGTTTCTAATTTGCAGTTTTAACATTGGAAATGTTTATGTTCCTATATGTTCGTATATTGTTATAAATATCGATAAGATTTCCATAAATGTATTTCAAAATACCGAATGTCATATTGAAGTCTCTATTAAAAGGTGTCAAATGGGTGCGTTCAGCAGACGGCAGCAGTTGAGTAGTTGAGTAAACGATCGCGTTTGGCAGACACGATGACTTTACGCTGAATGTCATCTGCTGCAAATTTCACCCAGTGCGATGAATTTGCGCTGAGCCGACTCAACATATGCTTAGACATGCACAGTGAGATGACAGTTCATTGTTGCGCTTGCTTTCTTAATTTTTAAAACGTTCATATTATGGAAACTATTACAGAAAATTTGTCAATCTACAGTTTGGTGTTTTCTGACGAACATCAGCATCCAAAGTATGTGGCATCAGCACATACTTTGATTTTCTTTTACTATACGGAGAATGGTCGCACTGCGCAGCTTTCTGAGTGCCTTTTAAAAGGAGATAGAAAACTCCGCCATTTTGAACCCTTATTACGTGTTGCCTACATCTTGGCGCAATATTTTTAATAGGTGCGTTTTAATCATCCGCTTTTGCTTCGGAATTGTCGGTTTTGTTGTTTTAATCTGACAGGTTAAAACTAATAATAATATTTATTATTCACTTTGTGGTTGCTATTGGCTTTAATTAACTTGAGAGCACAATATTATTTTAGGTATAATTATTACATTAAGCAGGTATTTAACATTGTTTTACATTATTTACATTTTTCTTGCGTTTGAGTACTAATACGTTAAAACGCCTTTTATTTGATTTGATTTATTGTGGTTTTCGGCCTTGCCTAAAGTTGAGTAGCATATATATTTGTTTATTAACCAAGTGCATATACTGAAACTATTAAATAATTTTGTTGATTTGCTATTTTTAAAAGTTAAGTTTATATTGTTGTGAATCTTGCCTTTTTTTATTATATTGTTGGTAAGTCGCAATATTTTATAGATATCTTATCCGCTCCGCTCTGGAAAGAACCAGGTTCCAGATCTTCGGATTTACCCGACTGGAGCCTACCGACTTTAGAGAAGTCTCACCCAATTCAGACATGACCTTCATCAAAAGGTGTGGCTTGTACGGTGAACTATAAGTTAGTTATGAGCCACAATACATTAACAGAACACACACCGCAGCAGCCGCAACGACTAGAAGTACTTCGATCGCTTCCAGTATATTCGACTCAAGTGTGATAAGAACGGCCTGTAATCGCTTCGGCAGGAGCAGCGTTCGCAGCGAAGATTGTGATTTATCAGTGATTCAGAAGATTTTAGGCAAATGCCGAAAGATTTTTAAAATTCGAATAAGATTTGAAAAATACTAATTTTATATTTTTATTTTCAGACCTATTTCTGCGATTTTATTAATAAAAAATTGGTAGTTTTGTGAAAGATTTACTACTAATTTTTCTTTTTCAGTGTTACGACCTACAGGGATGGCCCCCACAGGGGCAAAACCAAAAAACTTGGACGTAAAGCCCAAGGAACCCGAAGATGAGGAAACGTTGGTGGACTTTTTAAAGAAAACCAACAAAAAACTTGTCAAGCAAGTAGAAAACCTTACGACCCAGGTGGCTAATTTAACAGCCCAAGTAGCTACTCTCCTAGCTCTCCTAGGAGACAACAAAAGAAGAAAACTAACAACAAAAAAGAGGAAAAACCAGCCGAGGAAATCATCACCGAGGCAATGGCTATCGACTTACCCAACAGTGAAGACGAGTTTACCGAAGTAATCTCACGAAGCACCCGTAAAAGGGGCCGAAAATCCGCAAGTGGCGCTGGGAATATCTCATCGTCCGAGGAAGACGACACCAATGGCAATAGCTTAACTCCCCGGAACGGTTCGAAAAATTGTAGAGGCAAGTCTCCGGCTTTTTCACCGCCCAGGGATGAAATTTTTTCAGTCAAAAATACGGAACACTTGGGTGCGAGTAAGGGGTTAAATCGGCCGGTAAACGGTCGCGCCTCCGAGGCATGTAAGTCAACGATTTTTGAGACTGTAAAGGCAACGGCGACGAAACCGAAAAACGATGATTTCCCACCGCTACCGAAGGTAACGAAAATACCGATCATGAGAAACACCACAATTAAGACAAAAGTACCGCCTACACATGCACCAGGAGGTACTGAACCTGCGAAAGCGACAGCCAACTTGGTTATTACAGGGCGTGATGAAACCCTTAACCCCACGGCCGAGCCAAAACAGACGAAAGTACCACCGGTGGTAGTGGAAAGTGGTGCCAAAAACTGGCCAGAAATAAGACGTGGCCTAGTAGAAAGGGGTATTCCTTTCACTAAAGCCCCTACACGCAACGAAGAATTGAAAGTCTGGCCAGCAACCTTCGATGCGTACAGGGCTACGACAAAGTACCTGGACGAGAGAAAAGCCAAATACCATACGTACAGACTTGAAGATGAAAAATTTCACAAAGCGGTCATCCGAGGACTCCCAAAGGAAACCGAAGTTAATGACATTATGGAGGATTTTGAAAGCCAGGGGTAGTATTCTCGAATCACGAATACCGATATTCGCATACGTGTTTTACAATGTGTCTCACTTTGTTGAACGAAAACCAAGTGAGACAAATCATAAATCTCGCATGCGAATCTATATTCGTAACTCGAAAATACTATCCCAGGGCTTAAAACCCCTGAAAGTGCAGAGAATGACTGCAAGACGGGACAGGCAACCATTGCCACTGTTCTTGATAGACGCTCCGCTCAATGAAAAAGCCGACATAATTAAAGTAACGAGATGCCTGTACCTAGTGGTCCGCATGGAACCACTGCATTCAAATGCAGCAACATCGCAATGCTACAGGTGTCAGGGTTTCCACCACACCCAGTCAGGATGCCACAGGGACGTAAAATGCGTATTTTGCGAAGAAGGACACCGTGCAGAACAATGTACTAGACGTACGAACAAGGACGTCAAGGCCACTTGTGCCATATGCAGAGGAGAGCATCCCGCAAATTACCGCGGATGTACGAAATACCAACTTACGAGAAATCGACAGCCGCAAAAACCACGACAGAGACCGATCACGAAACCCGCCCACGTTACAGCGGGTATATCATACGCCAATACCACGACGCAGGCTATTCGACACGTAGTCGAACAAAAACAAAAGGAGCAATCTAACGACGCCGCCCTCATCAAGGACTTGTTAGAACTCCTCATGCGATACCAAGGAACCCATTAATGAATACACCACCTACAAGGCCAAATCAGCTGAAGATCCTATCGTGGAACTCAGGAGGAATTCGGATAAATAAGAACCTTCTATTCGAATTAATCGACAGAGAGGACCTTGACGTTATAGCGCTACAGGAAACAAAGCTAATCGAGCGGCAAAACTTTAGTTATCCTGGCTATCATGTGTATAGGACCGATCTTAGAGCAAATTCAGGAGGCACTGCGATTCTTATTAAGCGGGAGATAGATCACTATCACACTCCCATGCCCGGAGGACTCAGGACAATGGAGGCTACTACGATCACTGTTAGAACTTCCCACGGAAATTTTAACATAGTGTCTACCTACCTGCGACCTAGAGATATTCTACATCACGAGTATTTAGACCTTCGAAGAAGGCCTCATAATCGGAGATTTGAACGCAAAATCCCCCGACTGGAACAGCAGAAGACGCAACCCCTCAGGACGGGCGGTGGAAGCATACCTGGCAAATAACTCAGGATGCGACGCCGGAGGTCCACTCGTGCCAACACACCACCCAACACGAGGACTGCCCGATGTGATTGACATTGTGATCGTGAGAGATTGCACATTTCCCCTGGAAATGTATTCTCTTAACGAGGGCTTCGGTGGACACAATCCCGTACTTCTTCACCTAGGTGAGGGAGAACGAGATAGCCCGCAGAAGATGGTGTCGAAAACAAACTGGACGCAGTTCAAAAGAATTCTAGGGGCAAATATCGGTAACGTACCGGTAATCGAAGACGAGGAGGCAGTGGACCGAGCGCTAGAGCACCTAGTAACCCACATCTAACGAGCGCTGCAAACCAGCACGAGGGAAACCGAAGTAACTAGGCCCAGCAGATTTAAGAACATCGGCCAAGACATTAAGGACCTAATAAGACAAAAACGACAAGCACGCAGACGAGCAAACAGGACTAGACTCCCCCGAGACCGGATCTACGCGCAAAACCTCGCACTTAGACTGCGAGAAGAACTCAAGCAACATAGCGACGAACAATGGAAAAACTTTCTAGACACTCTGAATCCGCAACAAAAGGGGCCCTGGAACCTGCAGAAAATCTTACGACGAGACAACACACAAAAGTACCTACGCTCCACGGTACGCGAGGACTCGCCCACACCGACGAGGACAAAGTTGAAGTATTCGCCACCTCCCTGGAGAACGAATGCCAAAACAATGAACACGACAATGAGGACATGGACTTTGCGGACGTAGTGGACGAACTATGGGAAAACAACTACCCAGAAGACGACGACGACGGACTAATTTTACCGACGAGGTGATCGGCATTATTCGTTTTGTTTCAGCGAATAAAGCACCAGGATGTGACCACATTACAAACAGAGCACTGAAGCACTTACCTCAAAAGGCCATTGTCCACTTCACAGCAATCATTAACGGGATTTTAAGAAATCAGTACTTCCCACGACTCTGGAAAAGTGCAGAAGTGCTTATGTTTCGAAAACCGAATAAGGACCCCGCCTTTCCGCAAAATTACCGCCCCATCAGCCTTCTACCTGCAATGAGCAAAATTTGCGAGAGGATTATACTCTACAGGCTACATCATCCCGCCGAGCAATTCGGATTCCGCGAAGGACACTTCACCGAACTTCAAGTCCTAAGGCTAGTAGAGCATATTACGAAGAAATTTAATCATCAAAAATCGACACGAGCTATATTCCTAGATGTCTCCAAGGCATTCGACAGAGTATGGCACGCCGGCCTGATTTTCAAGATGAAGGACCTAGGACAGTCAACGGCTATGACGACGCTGCTCAAGTCGTACCTCAGTGAAAGAAATTTTCGGATTAAGATGGGACATGTCCTATCAAGATCTGGAGTTTTCGACGCAGGAGTGCCTCAAGGAGCGGTATTGTCACCGCTATTGTGTACCATTTACACCTCAGATATTCCGAAGACCCAACGAACTACCATGTCACTCTACGCAGACAACACGGCCATAGCAGCCTTGAGTACACAGCCCTATTTGATATCAAGGCACCTACAAGTAGCAGCGACAAAAATCCAGGAGTAATGCGTAAAATGGAAAATCAAAATTAATGCCGAGACAAGTCAAGCTGTGCTATTCACGAAGAGACGACACCAACCCGGACGAGAAATAGGAATAGATGGGCACGACATCTCCTGGAGTACCTCCGCCAAGTACCTAGGAGTCAAGATGGACAAACACTTGCATTTTACACCGCACGTGGACATGGTAGTCTCGAAGGCCAAACAAGCGCGAGCGCGGATGAGTTGCCTGATCGGGCGACGAAGCCAGTTCGCGCTTAGAACCAAACTACGACTTATTCACGCCGTTATTTTGCCGATTTTGATGTACGCCTCCATAGCGTGGGAACACACCTGCAGGACTAGCCGAAAGAAAATCCAGACGCAGCACAACCTCTGCCTGAGGTATGCAGTGAATGCATATCAATACACTCGAAACACGCAGCTATACAGGGAGCTAGAATCACCACCGATTCTAGAGCGAATGAATAGACGCGCCGAGAGTCTATTTGAAGAGCTAAGGACACATCCGAACCTAGAACTGCGGGAACTCACGGACTATTTAATAGCAGACTACACGAGGCACGCCAGGCCTAGAAATCAACTAGCCCCAGGCATCGATGGACCGGGTATTTACTAATAATTATGACTATTAATATTTCTTTCTTTTCAGCCTCGGCAGAAGTAAGTACTGACCGTATAAATATTTATTTTTCTCATATTTATTTATATTTCTTTTGATGATTTTTCCAGCCGGAAATAATTGTTATTTATTTATTTATGACTTTTGTTAATCTTTTGCTTTTCAGAGGTTATTTTTATTTCAGACAACAAACACGAGAAACAGACTCTAGACTGTACACACAAACTAAGCTAAAGAGCTGTCCCCCCAATTGCCACTTGGAGAAATTGGGGGAACGCTCACAGGCGGGGACACCCACGCACAGACGACACGGCAGAGTAAAGTCTTATACCACACTCTGCATAAATGATGATTACATTTCTAACTTTCATGCCCTTTCGAAAGTTGGATTTGCAAATTTGATGCTTTTTGCCACTGAGGACCCTGCAGCGATGTCAAGTACAAAGCAGGGGGGTGGACGGAATGGGTCAAATAGGTTCCGGATTTGTTATACGCAAATTTAGAACTTATTCGACTCGGGCCTCGGAATCAACACGAGCCACAATAGACCCATCTGGGTCGCAGTGGAGGGCGATGAGATCATCCCACTTATTTTCAACCTAACCTAACCTAAGAGTCATGGTCAGGTATTATGACTTCCTGGCGCCCACCCCCTCTGGTTAATAATTTGTAAGTAAATATTTCACTTTTACTTATTTGTCGAAACCCACCACCCTTACCGACTCGAGTTAAGCCGCCAAGGCCCAATTAAGGCTTTACAACAACCCTTTAAAATAAAGGGGCGTTTCAACGTCTACTTACACCTAGTTAATAAATTATTTTTTGAAACTAAGTGTTATTGAGGTCTAAAATACTGTGCAAATTAGCTTAGAACTGTTATTTCACAGTTATAGTATATACAAAATAAACTTTTTTAATTGTACTAAACCCATTATTGAAAACTGTTTTAGTACATACTTCGTTAAGGGAAGTAGTATAAAAAAATGTATATGTGGCCTAAATTATTTTAAGATACTTAAAAGTTTTGTCTATGCTAGGTATGTACCCATATCATAAAGACTAAATTAAATATTTACCGATATCTATCTGCGAAGTAAACTATGTAAAAAGCGCGGTTTTATAAAGGTTATATTTTTAAAATCGGCTTATCTAGACCTTTTCAGGGGTATTCTATACCATGTATATTGTATAGTGACATATATGAATATGAATTGATTTTGAAAAAAGAACACTATGTTCAATGTTTAATAAATTTACTTTTACGTTGGTCGTTCTATTTATAGAGGCATGTTGGAGGTATGACACTCGGTATGTCATAGAAAATTTGTTATCAGAATATAAAAATATGTTACAAAAACCAACAATTCATTAGATTATTAGTAAACAATATATATTTTGACAATAATTGGGATCAATTGAATTTCTTGTCAAAATATAATTATTAAATGTAAATATAGAACAAAAATGTTCAGCCAACATTCAGTTTGCTTTACTAAAAAGCTGACCAGAATGACAGCACAGTTTATCTCCGAAGTACTGATATACCTATTAAATAATTTT